CGAATGTGATGTAAAGTATGTGAATGACGAACAGTATAAGCATGTTTGTAAAGCATGTCGACTCGCAAAATGCTTCTCAATTGGAATGACCAAGGATCAAATTAGGAAAAAGGTAAAAAAAGTATTTTACAAATTGTATTTACAGGGATGACATTAAATGACTCCCCTACTTTAAATTAAAATAATTTTAATACCATGCAGTTTATTTAAATATATTTATTACCAAATTGTAGCCGAATAGTTAGGATTTTGTTTGGTATATGACATGTCCAGGTATCTATTAACCAAAATTTTTTACAAGGGATATGATTTTAAACATGCAAAATTTTTTGTACTTTTTATGCAATTCATAGTTATATGTATACAAATTGAGATTTATTACAAGCTGTAATTCAATGGTTTAATACAAATATTCACTAAACTGTTATTTTATATAAATAATTTTATTTGCTAATAAATGAATATTAATTCAAAATCAAATAGTTTTATTGAAAATAATGAATTACAGTTCGTAATAAATCTCAACTTGTAAACATATAAGTATGAATTGCATAAAAAGTACAAAAAATTTTGCATGTTTAAAATCATATCCCTTGTAAAAAATTTTGGTTAATAGATACCTGGACATGTCATATACCAAACAAAATCCTAACTATTCGGCTACAATTTGGTAATAAATATATTTAAATAAACTGCATGGTATTAAAATTATTTGAATTCAAAGTAGGGGAGTCATTTAATGTCATCCCTGTACTATAATAAGCATATCGATACAACCGGATTAATAAGCATAATATGCAGTGCACTCACTTATCTGTCATTAAAAACCAAGTCTACAATAGTCATTGCCGAGTATGTCGTCGACCTGTTGGCAGAGATCACAATAAGTTAATACTTTAGGTTTCGTGTCCGACAGCGAGCAATAGTACAGCATGTTGGCCTTGCATTCGCCCTCCAGATATAGACCCCTTCCGTCTAATGCCCGGGAACCGCAAAACTTGCCATTACGACCACCATTCGCGTCCGACCGGCACCAGCAAGGTCCTATATTGTGTAGCAAAAATATTTTATTTGTTTTAGCTCTACGACTAGTATAATTCGCGTGGCAATGTTACCTGTTGGCGGCGGACAATCTGTCAAATAGATTAAAATAATTTAAGTACAGTAATTTGTTATAAAAATCATCAGACAGTTAGACCGATTCCTTACTGGCTGCTTTTACATCGCCATAGACTACGCTGACAACGCATAATAGGGCTAAACCTGTCCAAACAGTAATTCTCGAAAGCATTTTAAATTTGTTTGTTAATAAAATTTATTATTAATTGCTTTTGAAACTAATAACTGAATTATGATTTTTTCGCGTATATCTACTGTATATTTATACGCAAAATTTGTTTTAACTGAAGTCATCTCAACTTTATGGGCATTTAATAATGTTATCAAAATGTGAAAGATAACAAATCAAATAATGAATTTGAAATAAGTTTATTGTTTATTATAGAGATTTATAAATGTAAAGAATTTTTATAAAGCGAAATTAAATATGTGTTTCTTATACCTTATAGGGTGTTACTAAAATATTTATAGATGGCGATATAATTTTTTTATATTCAAATGTTCATATTCAATCTGATTAGAGCTGCCAAATATTTTCTGAGACTGGGTCGACAAATAATTGTTGCTTATGAAAAACATTTGGAAAAAATTGCATAGTCCTGAGACTCAAAGGTTTAATAGGTCAATTGGACAACTCTCCTAAAAGAGACATTTGGCAAACTTAAATGTGATGCGATAACAAATTAATTTCAAGTTTATTATGTAGATTGCAGAAATTTTTTATATTCTAGATTATATAATAAACATGAAATTCATTTATTGTATTACGATATGATTTCTTAATTTCAAATTAACTTGAATTAAACAAGTTAATTATAAGTTAATTAATAAGTGTATACTATATTTATCAAATCACATTTTTCCAACAGTAAAATTTATTAGATATTTTATAAAATTTATTATATTTTCATGTTAACGGTATGCTATAACTTATAAGCATCATATAACTATATCATTTGTATTTTATATTTATAAGTAAATTAAATTATATAATTATTTTGTAACACTATTTAATTAAATATTATTAATTTTCTTTATATTATTAACCATATTATTTAGTCAGCAATTTATATAACGTCAAAATAACTTATTAGTAAGTTAATATTAATGGTTGTTTAATATAAATATATATTATGAAAATTAATTTTCATTACATTATGTTGCTTCATCAAATACCTATACTTATAGTTACATTTAATATACTATTCATAAAAATATCATCAGGCAATTGTTATTGCGGCAATCTGTTAGGTGATCATTGTGGCACTCGTTCAAATATTGAATTTGAAACAGGGGCTTATGCTTTACAAGGAGATTGTGTGCCAAATGGATTATACAGTTGTACTAATGCATATAATCCAGCCTTTTTAAAATCAATATGCCCAATTTGCGATGTATTCATTGAAACTTATGGTAATGATAGTTGCCAAATTCAAAAGGAGTGTACATGTTATGGTGTGACCGGGTACATTTGCTCGAAAAATAATAACCGTATTCATTTTAAACTTGACGGAAATTGCTTAAACAATGCTATTTATTATTGTGAAAATGATAAAGCCAAATTTGTTCAACACTGCCATAACTGCACCAATGATAATTTTGGTGACGCTAAATGTGGTAAGCTATAATTAATTTCAATATTGAAAATGAGTATCCATGAATTATAATTATATAATTAATAATAATAATAATGGGTATTTGCTTATATTAGACACCGATTTCAAATGACATGCTTTGGTGTTGTGTTATATTTAGGGAGGGAGAGGGGAAATGACGGCATTATTATTAGGCACTTTCTATTGCTTTCTATGTATAGGTATGGGTGGGTGGGGTGACTCCGTCAGGTTAAGTTAAGAAACGTTAAATATGAAACCTCGTTAGGTGTCAGCAAATTGTGCCAGGATAATCTGCAATAACATAAACTTTATGATCACATCTACCATTTGAATTGATTAAACTTTCCGAATATCACCAACTAATCCCGTAAATCCAATTTCAGTCACTGGTGACATGCACATTTTACATATTAAATAACATTATAAATATGGATGGCTATTCAATCATATAGTAATTTTTTTATATGAATTCATTGACATATTTTTCATAAATATAATCACAATTTGTACTAAAATCTGACGGTTAATTGCCATCAAAGTATTGGTGAAGTGCCGTTTATATTTATGTTATTTAATATGTAAAATGTGCATGTCACCAGTGACTATAATTGGATTTACGGGATTAGTTGGTGATATTCGAAAAGTTTAATCAATTCAAATGGTAAATATGATCATAAAGTTTATGTTATTGCAGATTATCCTGGCACAATTTGCTGACACCTAACGAGGTTCCCCATTAAGTCAGGTGAGGTTACTATTAGATTGAGTGCAATTCAATTTTTATAATATTTATATATCTTGTACATAAATTATCACTTCAGTCTACCAATTGTCTGCAAAAATTATCAACATATCTCTCAAAATCACCAAAATCACAGTCTAACCAAGCACATGAATTGATGATATAGTAAAGTTTATAAGAATATAAATTGAACTAGCATTGCACACTTTAATTTGTTAAAAATTCTTTTAAAATATTAAATTATCTGTTATTTAAAATATATCAAGGTGAAGAATGTCGATGCGGTTTAATTAAAGGTCGACATTGCGGTAGTAGAGCTTATAGCGATGGTGGTGATGGTCATATCTTAACTGGATCATGTCTAAAAAATAACATTTATGAATGTGAAAACATACATCACGTTGCTAAATTTAAAACACAATGTCCAACTTGCTTAGAAATAACTATCAATGATTATTTTGGAAATGACAAATGTAATATCAATATGCCATGCTTATGTCATCAACAAACTGGAATATTATGTTCTGCAAATGTCACAAATCGACTACACGGATTTTGCAACTTTAATGCAATTTATAAATGTACTGGCATAAATAAAACAGCTACTTTTATTCAACATTGTCACGAATGTCGACAAGATAGACAGGACAATGCCAGTTGCAGTAAATTTATAAAATAAACTTAAAATTTTAAAATAACTAATCGATTTCATAAATTGATATAGCTGGTACTTGTCGTTGCGGGTACAAATCAGGTCAGCACTGTGGGAGCAGAGTAAATGAAAATGAACATACCACAACCCCGTTATTAAATGGCAACTGCCTAAAAGATCGGCTGTATTATTGTGGTGAGCCTGATAAAAATTCAGAGTTATTGGATAATTGCGAACAATGTTATAGAAATGAGCAAGATGGTCTTGACGATTGCTACAAACGTAAGTTAAATTTATAATTTCATATTAACAACTAATAACATTTTATAAATTTAGCAAGTAGTTGTATGTGCGGAAAACCACTTGGTAACTATTGTGGTAGCAGGGTGGACGTGGATACTGTATACGATTCATTATTAACAGGACAATGTGATGAAAATAATTTATACATATGTCGAATGTCAAATAGTATTGCCAGACTAAAACAAAAATGTTCATATTGTGAACAAGCGCCTGGTCTTGGAAATGACTATTGCGAGCATGGTGAGAATTTAAAATTTGTTAAGTTTTCAAGCTGATAGATGTTAAATGTAGAAATTATACTTTTTATTTAGAAATAATAGGATTATCAACTACAACATTACCTAGTTCAAAATTATTTACAAATAATAAGCCATTATTCTATTCTATACCACTTTTGATTATAATTGCAATTCTCGTTATTTATTATTGTGCGAGATATTTGTGCATAAAATTTTTAACTGTATCTTATACATATAATGACACTGTTAAAATTGATCTTGAAACGACAAAGCATGATGACAATAATGAATCAAATATTAAAATCGATGAATGCTTCGTATGCCCTAGTGAAAAAATTAATTCATTATATAATAACATTCAACGTATCGGTTCTGGTACATTTGGCGAAGTGTACAAAGTGAGGCATAAATTTACAAACAAGATATCAGCTATCAAAATGACTGACATAAGTTAGCATACTAAGTAATTAAATATTTTAAAATTAAAATTTTTAAATTATTGTAAATAGGTGCATTAGCTATACGGGAATTACAAATGTTGCTCCAAGTACAATCACAATACGTGGTTACATACTATTCATTCTGGTCAGATAATAACAGCCTATTTATAGAAATGGAATATTGCCAAGATTCATTACAAAATATTTTAATAATCCGCTTTGACGCATTTAATAGGCAGCGTGGTGAATTAATGAATCTAGTTGAATATTTTATATTCACGGAAATATTCCGAGAACTTCTAGAATGTGTAGATTATTTACACACGCTAGAAATACCAGTAATACACCGAGATTTAAAACCTGCCAATGTACTGATATACTACGATATTTTGCATAATCGGAGATTTTTAAAATTATGCGATTTTGGCCTAGCTACTTTCCAAAATCGTAGTCAACAGAGTCATACTGTGGGTGTGGGGTCACCTAAGTATACGCCCACAGAAGTGTTTGATCCCATTTACGATACCAAACGTGATATTTATAGCCTCGCCGTAATTGCACAGAAAATGTTCGAGATTAGTTTTAATGGGTAAAACCACATTTATTTTCCTAAATTGAAATAACTATTAATCTTTTTATGTATAATTTAAGAGATATTAAAATCATACTAATAAAATAATATAAATCATATTAATATAATAATAATTTACTGTACTGTAAGGTCCAACATTTGTTTTACAACTTTGAATTTAATTTTTGAAAATACTAATATAGTTAACTCATTAACATAATTTAGTCTTTCAATTAGGTTTTATATAAATATATAATTTATGTTATATTTCTACTTGCAATTACAGTTAAAACCAAATCAACTATTAAAATATTAAAACATAACAAATTCCAAATACAACTATTTATTTATAATTTATATATTAATTTACAGCTCTAAATCTGGTCAATACTTAAACCACAAATGCTTTAAGAAATTGTACAAAATTGTGAAAAAGATGACAAATTATGTCTATAATAAACGTCCCAATTGTGACAATATTTTATCGGACGCATACAAATGGACTGTGGACAGGGATGTGGTGTTAAGGGATGGTAGTTATAAAAGTACGACAAAAACTCTTGATTCATTTGAAAATCTATTTTTCATCATATTTTTAAAAGTTAAACTTAACAAGTCAGTTTTAAATTAGTTATAAACAAAAAGCGTAAACATTTATTTATTTTATTGTTATTAATAGAAATTTTTAATTAATTCATAATTTTTAGTAAAATTTTATGAATTTAAATTCAATTTAAAATTAAATTACATAAAATGAATTACATATCTAAAGTTTTTAATGTTTATTTAGAAAAACTTTGTTTTAAACTTTTGAAAACATTTTAGTTTTATTAACAGTATTTAAAAATGATTACATTTTGATGTGAAATATGTAGTGAACTCGTAGTCCACTACTGAATGCAATGTCCAGTAATTTTGAATACAATAGCTTTTATAGCAAATAGTGATCCATATATGGGTTAATACAGTAGACAATGTTTAAGTGAAAGTTTATGAATTTTTTGGCTATTTTTGAATACAATTTCAGTATTGAAAGCAATTTCTATTGAAATTGAGTTTAAAATAAAAATAATTAAATTAACAATAAGTTTAAAATAGGTTTAAATAAAATAATTCTCGGAATACTTTACACATACAAAATCAATTTTATATTATATTAATTATTTTTAAAATTGTTATTAACTATACTGTATATATAAAATTATAACAAATAATTTTTATAATTTATTAATAAACTATTTTATTAGTTAAAAAGTTACCTAATATGTTTGTTTGAAAAACATTTATTATACAATTATAAAACTAATAATAATTGAATTTCACACATTATCAATTGAATTTAATGATTTTGTAATATTTTTATAAAATTTATAGCTAAATATATTAGATAAAATATTGATAATTTCTTTTATATTATTGTTTTTTATATTAATTATTTTGATCAACGTTACTTTTATTGAACATAAGATACTTTTACGTTTACTATGCATTAAAATTATTTTATCATAATTATATTAAGTAATATGCCATTTAAATATAATCATATTTTAAAATTATATTATAATTTCTATCTAAAATCAAACCTTATATATTATCTTTCAAAAATATAACATTAATAAAAATATAATACAGATCAATTATTGTATTCTATTTAGTATTTACATTAAAATCCCATATTAACAAAAACTGTACTAAAAAATATAAACTAAAATAATTACTATAATATTATAATATGTTATATTGTTATTACATATATACTGTATTATACTTTAATATAATAGAAAATAAAGGAATGTAAAAAACTACATCATTGATTAAATTTTTAAAACATTAGTTTAAATACATTTAATATAATATAAAAATTTTATAAAATTGTTATCATATTATTTGGCAAAGTATCATTTAAGTATTAGTCTTATTATTTACGATCGTTGGTAACAATTTTGAATATAGAAATATAATATTTGTCATAAAAGTTTTAATTTATAAAACAATAAATGTGAAATAACCTACAGTATATGAATAATCAATGAAATATGTACAATAACAATTAAATTAAATTAGTTTATTATACATATAAACTATTAAAGTTATGAAATCGCACAATGTAGAAATTGTAAAAATACTGAAATTATTCAGATAAAATAACAAAGTACGACTGATAACATTTATAAATTTTATTTTACAGAAAATACTTATATAAGTAGCAAACATTTTCTCAAATATTCACACAAAATAATTTTGAATATGATTATTTATTATTAATATTAACTCAACGAAATCTAATACTAAACATTTATACTTTAAATTGTAAAACAGAATAGTATGTTTTGAAAATTAAAATTTTTATATAAACTGTGTTAATCATTATACTTTATAATAAACTTTTATTATTTTAATACATAAAATCTTATACATTAAATTATATTTTATTACGAGTTGCAGTTTTACAACCCTTATCACAACTAAGTAAACAATTTAACAGCATTAATATTTATGGTGTCATTATTTTATTTACTTAACTTTTTCGGTTTTAATAATTATTAAGAAATGTAATTTGTGGTTTATGATATAGAGAGGCAATAGTTATTAAAGGGTTATAAAATGTATAATATTAAATCTGTTTAATGTCAGCAATGTTATTTACTTAGAAAGTCTACAAATAAATATTATATTAACTTTATTGTTTAATTGTGTTTTAGAAAAATCATACTTAATATGAGGATAAATGGGTTAGCCGGATTTACTGTATGATATTAATGTGTTTAAAATGCTCAAGTAAATAAGCATATAAAATAAATGTTTATGGAATAATGTATTAGGAATGTTCACTGGAAAGATGTTAATCAGTATTAGTCCGACCTATAGTTGAATATTACATTTATTAGAATGTTATACAATAAAGTTGGGGTCAAAAACATTTTAATGATTTTTTAAATGAAATTTATACCTAAAATATAAAAGTAAAATACCAGAAATCCTATTTGTATGATTGTTAAAAAGACGTTATTACCGGTTTGTATTGTATTTTGAAATATTGAATTTTTTAAAAATATTTTTTCCAAAGATTAATTGCTTTATACTCACTTTATTCAAATCATGTATCAGAAGAGAATTAATTAATTAATAAATTTTAAATAAATGTTCTTTCAATAATAAAATGAAAATACAATTAATGTGGTTAAATAAATTATACGCTGAAAATGTAAGTTCACTTATATTGTTGTATTAAACTATGTAATTTCAATAATACAATGATTAAATTAATATTAAACAAAACAATGTGCAACTTTATTGTTCAAACTAATAATCATCTTGTCAGTATCAATTACAGAACTTAATTATTATTTCATAATTAATACCATATTAGGTATTTGCAGACTTTAATAATAATAATCTATGTATGATCTTGTTGACATGTTAAATATTACAATTTTATAAGGCTGGAAATGAATATTATAGAGGTAAACATGTAAAAATTATAGATAACAAATAATAGTAAATGAGTCATTGAATTATATGTGTGAGTTGCAGACTGTTTTTTGCTGCAACTCACACATATTTTATAAGAAATCTTATATGAAATATAAAAATATCGGGTGTCCCATCGTATCAGTAAGATTTCTAAATTAATTTTAAAATATTTACAATTATATTTTGTTAACAAAAACTATACCAAAATGTTGGAAATTTATTAAAATTTTATGTGCACTTCATAAAATATTCACCAAATGCCTA